TAATCGGGGAAGATCAATTTGGGTTTAAAGAGAAGAAGAGCACTGCAGACGCCATACACAATACAATGGACAGAGTTTACAGAGAGCGAGGCGAAAACAAATCGGTTGTTACAGTGTTTTCTGACTTGCAAAAAGCATTTGATTGTGTGGTCCATGCCTTGTTAGTCAAGCTACAGAGGTGAAATAAACCAATGAATTCGATCATTTCTGAGACAGCGAAAGCAGATAGTTCGCATCAATTTGGAAAATGGTGGCAGCGTGGACTCGAAGACTGAAGAATTAAGCATTGGCGTTGTACAGGGATCAACACGTAGTCCACTTTTGTTTCTTCTATTTATCAACGACCTCCATTCATTGCCTATTAAGGGTCACATAACGCTATTTGCAGACGATACAACCATCACTTGGGTCGATGCGAATCCCGAAGAGCTTCAGAACAATATAAACAGAGATATGCTACTGCTACAAAACTGGTTCGCAATGAACAAGCTTTTTCTGAACACAAGCAAATGCAAGGTAATCAATTTCAACGCAAACCTCTGCAAAAGCATTATTGTTGAGGTGAATAAATGGCAGAAACCTACAGAGGGTCAAAGAAGTCAAATTTCTGGGAGTCACGATTCAAGAAAACCTTAAGTGGGACCAACATATTATTCTACTTCTATTTAAGAAATTATCAAAAGGCCTCTCCGCAGTGAATACAGCGCAGAGATTTATAGACAACAAAATAGCAAAACAGGGGTATCACTCCTTATTCGAGAGCCATCTCCGATATGCGATAACTGTCTGAGGCAATAATATGAAAATCGTATTCCTGCTCCAAAAACAGGGCAATGAAATATTGACATCTTCGAAGTTACAGGAACTATTCAGAAAGCTAGGCAAAAACTGACAGTCAGGGGTGATTTGCCGCATGCGTACAATAATCGACAAACTAAAAATTTAGTCACCCCATTATCCTGTCTAGCAATCACACAAAACTCAATGACGCACATGGGTATCCAGTTTTATATTAAGTTGCCAATAGCAGTTCGACGGATGGAAAACCAAAAAACGTTTGAGATCACTGTCAAGAGTTGTTTGGAGGGCAAGGCCCACTACAACGTCAAGGAGTATCTGGAAAAAAATCATAATTTTATGTAGAAAGGGATATAGGTACCTACTCTTGGTTTTATCAATTCAATTTTTCGATTGAAACGAACATTGGCACGTTTAGCTTTGTCTAACACTGCTTCCAGTCTTTTGGCTTGTTCTTCTTTATTCGCTGCCCAGACTATAACTCACTGGAAGTCCATCAAAAATATTCTTGAATGTACAATGAAAAACTTCCGGTGCAGAGCACAGTCCGTAAGGCATTCTCCTATAACAATATCACCCATAACACCCAGCATTAAATGTTGTAAGTATTTCACTTTCTTTATGCAACTTAATCTGATAAAAGCCCTTATTGCCGTCGAGTATTGAAAAAATATTTGCCCCTTCCATCTTGGATACAATTTCCTCAAAAGTTGGAAGCTGATACCACTCACCTACTATGGTTTTACTCAGATTTTGTGAATCTAAGCAAATTCGAAGACTATTGCTGGCTTTTTTACAATGATCATAGAACTGCACCACTCAGTTGGTTCAGTCACTTTTCTCTGAGCCAAAGTATCTATGTACATACATGGTAAAGTTAGAAGTACGAATACTCCATACAAGTTGCACTGGAAGGGATTTCAGTTTAATAACTGTCACCACACTGTATTCCAATATTGGAACTCAGGGCATTCAGATGTTTTCGATAAAATCCACAGTTCAATGCCTTCTCTACTGATGCTGGAATTTGTTTCGCATGCTTTGTCGAATGCGTTTACCTGTAGACAATGCAAGGCAGTCAAAGTGCATACCAAGCAAGATTTTTTTACATGCGACGATGTGAGGCAGGATTTCGCAGCACCACAACTTGCAATACCAGTGAATGTCACTAATTCAATCCAGTGGCGGATCTTTAGCATTTTGGGAAGGGTAGAGCTTCTCAACCAGTAACGGCTCGTGGTCTATACTTGAAGGGATTCACCAAGCGCGTAGCCAGAAAATTCAGATGGACGGAGTTTTCCCTGTTGAAATTAATAAACAGTGTATGACCATAGGGGTGTTAGAAAAAAAATTGCGCCGCAGGCGAAAATTTTGTTGAATTCCAAGGTCAAATGCTTCATATAAAAAGAACAAGATTTGTAGCATGTATTTTTTGAGATTCTTAGTATGTATTTATATTGTAATTTTTAATTTCTAATAATTTCCAGAAGTGGTTTTTAACTATACTTCCTGATCAAATGGGGGTGTTTCAAACCCCAAAACTCCACCCGCGGCTACGCCCTTGGTGTTCACACCCATAGTAGGACCCAGTAGGTGAAGCCCGGAGACTGAAATTTTTTTCGGGTGCCAGGCCCAAAACGCATTTTATGCCTCCAAAAAATATACTTTGTATGTTTTTTCAATAATTAAAATTTTCTCAGGCCTCTTCTTGGGGGGAGGGTAATTACCTCCTTTACCCCCCCGTGGACCCGCCACTGATTCAATCCATCCACTGCCAGTTAACTTCTTGCCAAGTAAGTTAATGACCATCATTTCAGTGTACTGTGGATTGACAGTTGGCAAAGGAGGGTCACTTCTAAGTTTACCAGTTGCAAGAAGATTAGTGTAATATTCAGGGAGTCCATTGACAATTTGATTATTCCACTGCTGGATACGAGCGCTGTCATCGTCAATTTCAATAATAACTGTTTCACTGTGAGGATGCTGAATAATCATAACATTTGAACCATGGAATGAAGTAACTGCATTGGAAGAAGATTGATTGTGGTCAATGGTTGTCTATTGCTGATGTTAAAAATACAGTGGGTCACAACTTTGGCGGGTGAACACCATCTTCCATATATTGTTAACACAATACATTCGTAACTGTAGCTGATATTTCTTGCATTCGATTATATGGAACACTCGAACCCAGACGACACAGTTTATCTATAATCTTTTTCTTTTTAGTGACAGCGTGAATCATGAGACCTACATAGATTGTAGATTTGTAAATTTCGGAGGAGTCGTTTCGGCTTTTCAGCCGCTCAGCACTGCTACCTTTGCAGATATTTTGTGCGTGACTCTACATCTTAATTTGTCTCCAGGAAGCGTAGACTTCTGCCGAAGGAAGCTATTTTCCTGGGTGTCAGTTGGCCCACTTCTTCTGGTGACAGTGTTGCCCCCTCGAGGAATTTGAGCCTCTTGCAGAATTGGGCTGGACATTCGCAGAGCAGGTGCTCTGCGGTTTCTATTGCGTCTGAGCAGAATCTGCAGAGATCGTCTTCTGCTCTGTCCATTAACCTTAAATGGTATTTTACTGGGCAGTGATGAGACCTACATATAGTGAGTGGTGTTTCTCTCTCCAGAGAGTGACGTACACTCTGAACATTTTCTTTTCTGGCATGCTTATTGCTGTTATATCTAATAAGTTGGGCAATTGACAATCCTGCATTATTTGCTGCAGGTATTTCTGGTGCGACACCAAAATTAATATTGGGACCCTCTAGTAACATACATACAAGATTATTAAAATGAATGAGAACGGCAGGTACAGATGTGGAAGCAGTAAACTCATTGTCAAAGGATTGATTGATAATCACTTGGTTGATATCAGAATTCAAACTCGAGTTACATAGGGTAATGTACAATCATGTCACAGAAAAATTGGGGGCCATATTGATTACGTCATCAACGCTGCTATAGGGCCAAAAAAAAATTGTGTCTCGGGCTTTCTGGACTCGTCTACCCATGTACTATCTGAATCCAAAGGAGCGCATCGGTTGCCAGATCCGAAACTTTTCTAACCTATCTCGCCCCACTAACATAGACAAATCGTCGCCCTAGTTGTGAATGGTCGTAATCCACTCAAGGTAAGTTGTGAGTAAACTGCATTTAATTTTTTTGTTTTTGGTGAAAATATGCTTTTTAATTAGCAAATATACTATAACAAGGTCAAATATTGATCACTGGCTTAGATTTATTCACCAACATAAAATTTAAACATTTTTAAGTATGGTAACAATGATGTTAACAGTCACAACTCAAGAATGAATATTGTGTGGATTACGACCATTCACAACTATAGGGCGACGAAATACAAATATAAAACCTTCGAAAAAACTGCAAAAACTCCGAAAACGTGTTCACAAATAATATTGCAAACCATAAAAACAATGATAAACAAAATTGAACGTAAACTTTACCAATGTGACTATAAAAAATGAATATGCAAATTTTTGCAATAAAAATTCTTTTAGGTACAAATAACTTCTAAATTGTGCATACATTTTAACCAAACTCAAATACCTACTTGATTTAATTCTTTTCTTGTTCCGAAATTGGTTCCTTGACGAATATCAAAAGTCCTCCCTATTTTTTTTGTCGGAGTCAATCTCGCTAATCCGATCAGAAATCGCTTACGTCAGTTTAAATAAACCCAAATCAGACAAAAGGCCGAGCTGAAAGGTCACAGAAATGGGGCTCTGAAAAAGTTGGGCCGCAGGAATAATATATGCCAAATTCTTGAAAGCTCTACGCGTTTCAGACGGATGAAAAAAGGACCTCCTCTCTCGTGCTCGAAGGTTAATTTTTTTTCGAGCTCTGCTGCCTTTCAATAATTAGGAATGTCGAAAGTTTTAGGGCTGATGAGTTGAAGAAAAAACTCCAAGTTAGTTAATTCTAAATAGAAGACACGTCAAGATATTCGATATTGAGGTTACACAGTTTCCAGAGAAAAACTGACAATGCAGGAAATTCCAAAATCTACAAACCAATACACCACTAGAAGGTGTTCTTGAAAATGTACGGTAACTGGACTGGGATTTTTTCAGAAGATAAAATTACTGAGAAATGATTGGTAAATTTGAATTTATTATTGGGAATCCAAGGTTTTATACAATTTACTGGAAACATAATATTGCTATGTGTTCAAAATATTATTTAAATTTAAAATTATTATTATTGATACTTTAGCCAAAACCGCTTTCATCTGGGCTCTTTTTAAAAGTATGTGAAACCGAATTTAAATAATTTAATTTCGTTCGATATGCTGATATCGCATTACTTCAGTCAAAATTTGATATTGAAAGCTTCAATTTTTTTACATCAAAAAAGCTTTTACGCAAATCCGCTCACTGTACAATCCGCAGTATGCGCTAAATCCCCTATAAAGGTAAATATTAAGGTCACCTTTTCAAGCTTTAAAGCGATTTTTCTTCAAGGAAAAAGGTTTATGTGACCCTTTTTACATCACCATCAAGTGGATCCGGTAACATAAATCTTCGGACTAAAGCTGATATTTTTTTAAGGGATCTAGTGTAAAATTCGTTGTTTCATTCAACAAGCCAATCCGGGAAAAAAAGAATCCACTTTACCCGTGCACCAAATGAAAAATAATCCCGGACAAAATGTCAAAAAAAAAAATGTCCAGCGCAGTGCATATTCCCAAGGGAGAATGGGCCACTTTGTGTCCCCATTAGAAATTAATCGATATGGATATTGAACCAATTTTGAAAATCTCGCTGGCATTTCTGGCGTATGCTAAATAAATTATGGTATGCTTTATGTGAATGGATTTTTTTTTTATTTTTTGAAGCTTTGAATGATTTTCATTTTGCAGTTAATGACTTGATTGATTTTGATTGCTCAATGGACTTTATTTTTTGAATTAATACCTAGTCAACGTTTTGATGTGTGTTCGTGCCATCATCAGGGCTGAGGGATTTGAAATAAAAACGTTTCATATGGTGTTTTCATTATTTGTCTGTTCGTTGACTGATATGGAATTTATTTGATGATAAAAAATTTTGCAAATATTATTGAACTTTGAACCTCTACACTCTCAAATAAGCATTTTGCAATCAATATTTTTATAAGGTACGATAAGCAAAAAACTCGATAATTTTACAAATACCTATATCAACGTTACGCACACCAAAAAAATTTTTTTTTAAATTAAGAAAAAATAAGAACTTGCCTTTTTTCCATCCCTAAACTTCACAGTACCCTCGATGACGCAATCGTTATCACACATTTTTCGGGGTTCCACAATAATCCAAAATCACATATTAACAACTAAAAATTTTGTTTATGCAAAACAATTCATCACAAATAATGCACATAGTCACATATCAAAACATTTTTCTCAAATTACAATTTTTTTTTTTGAAAACCTTTTTCATGCGAAAAAAAGTTTCGGCGCGTAATATCGTACAAAGTCGGTACGCAGTGCGGCGCAGCCTTCGTGGCTCGATAGGTGGCGCGCGACTAATTCATAAGTTCTGTGGCAGATCGCAGCGAGCGACCAGGCGAAATTGTGAATGCGCCTGCTTTGTGTGTATTTCATTCTGGGATTCTGGATAGATGGATGGAATCGGGAGCGTATAGGGATGGTGATAATTGTTATAAGTTGGAAAGACGGCGGTTGAAGGAGAGATTCACCGGGATTTTTACTTAGTGAAAGTCTAAGGCAGTATATAAATAGAGCTAGGTTCTTGACATTTACAAGTTTTCTTGAAGTTGAATATAGAGTCTATTTGTTTTTTTTTAAGGACATCATTTCTGTCTGTCGTTGGGGTTTGTTTGAATTCGCGAAGGGCCCCGAAGTAGGCGACATCTATGATCAACTTTGGTACTTAAAACTCAGTGAACAACAAAGCAAGTTTGCATTTGGCCCCCGGCATTGTTTCTGAAAGTTTTCAATTTTCTACAGAATATTATTCATTTTATGTATTGTTTCTGTTATATAAATTACAAAAACATCATAAAACACAATTTAACAAAAACTAACCTCAAAAAACTAGCTTTGTTGTTCACTGAGTTCGGCAGACATATTGCTATTTTTCGCGTAATTTAGCGCCATCTATTGGTATAGGAATTTCGCCAATAGCCATAGACATATGAACATTATCAACATAACCTCAACCCTTTTCCTATTCTCCTAAGTACCTACTACCAAAGGCATGGGCAGTGTGAATAAAAATTAAGCTTTCACTTTTAGTATTAAGTGATAGCTTTAGCTTTTACTAGATAGGTTAAGCTTTTGCTAATAGCATTTGCTGAAATTGAAGTGAATAACCTTTTGCTTTTACTTACTAGCAAAACCTAGATATTTGAAGCATTTACTGAAAATACGGACATTGCGTGAAATTTCTACAGCCTTCTCAAAAAATGTGTTTGCGAGTTTTTATACTGATAACGCCGATATTTATATTTTTATAAACCGGAATTATGAGATTTGGTTCCAACACGTCAAAAACCGCCCCATGAACGGTCTAAAAACCACTCTGTATAGGAATTTCGGATTCTACTCACAAATTTTTGGCTTTGCGCAGAATCATGACGGTACATTGTACGGTTTCTTGATGTGTTGGAACAAAGCTATGACCGGCGGCGTGAAAACATTGAAAGAAGTCAATAATTGGGTACGTTTACCAGTACTCAGCCGCTAACTTGCAGGGTAAAGCAGTTGAGGATAGTTGAGACACAGCGGATGTAAATTTCCTGAACGCCCGACACTTCTGCGCATGTCTAAAGCATAGATTAACCCTTCGACCTACAAGCTTTTTTTTTTGCACGTTTTTTGATAACCTGGGTACATTCTGTCCCCACGATTAAAGTGAATGTTTTAGTGGAATAGGTTATGACATCATCAAATAATTAATAAATACACATTTGAGAAACATCTTTAACAATAAAAAAAATATATAAAAACATAATTTTGAGAAACAAAGTTCGGGCGCTAACTTTGGTATGTAGGCTCCAAACCCTTCCAGAGCACACAGAACTGTCCTAGAATTTGTTATTTGTTATTTAATATTTTTTAAATTATTATTATCATTATTATATGTTGTTATATATGTATTATAAGTTGATCCAAAGTATGAACACCCCCTTTTGTAGAGTTGTAATCAAGAATAATTTGTTTTTCTGCTTTACTACAACCGGGGTACATAATGTACCCTTTATTCCTTAATTATTGTAAATAAAAATTAAATAATTTAAACAACATCACCTACAATCTGCATACACGTGTATACTGCAATAATAAACAGCTATTATAAGTGGCGCTTCGCTAACCTGTCAAATCCACAAAATATGCCAAAAATTCGGAGTGTGGGTCCAAAATGTACCCGGGTTGTAGGTGGAAGGGTTAAGTTGGTAAGCGTTAATTTTTACCGCTGAGAGAAATCGGCAGGACAAAAAGTCGGCTTTTACTGAGCGCCGCTGAACGCGATTGGGTACGATCACCAGCACACTGTTGCCAACAGTTCAGTAGTTGGGAAAAACAATGGTCGCGTTCACCAGCACTCAACATGTTGAGTGATTGTGAGAGGCTTTGTTCTAACAAGTGGAATACACAAGGTAAAACAGTTTTGATTGGCCTAGAGCTGATTTTCATCAGTTTTTAACAAAGCCGCTGACTAATCACTCAACATGTTGAGTGCTGGTAAACAGGACCATTCGCTCAGTAAAAACCGCTTTTTGTCAGCTGCTGCCGATTTCTCTAAGCGGTAAAAGTTTACGCTTACCAACTCAACTTATTGAATTGTCATTTGTCATAACTCTCAACTATGCGTTCAGGAGATTTACATCCGCTGTATCTCAACTGTCCCCGTACCCATTGTTTCCTCAGCTACTCAACTGTTGGCAACAGTTGAGTGCTGGTGAACGTACCCCCTTTAAACAAGTAGCAGTATCGAACGCCAGCGCTTCAAGGTGAAAATGAATAGTGATTCAGACAATTCTATAAGTTGAAAAAATACTAATAGTCCATTTTCTTGCAGTGGAGCTTTGTAAATTACAAAAAGAAGACTGAAGTTTTCTTTTTGTAATTCTGATAGTGATTTGTTGGAGGAGGAGGTTCCTGAAAAGTCTTCAGCCAACCTCGATTTGAGAGACTGTATTCCTCGGCGACCTCGGCACGACTTTGGCCTTTCTTTTCTTTCGGGATAAAATTTCGCAGACCTTATATTCAAAAACGCGGCCATTTCTTCCAAACTTTTAAACACCACAAAAATGTTTAAGCCAACGTTTACCAGGCTTGCAAAAATGTAAGCTTTTCCTTCATATAATTAGGAATTGCTTACTTTTATTCACACCATTTGAAGACAATACTAAAAACTGTAGCTTTTACTAATTGAATTTTTAGTTAAAGCTAATACTCATTTTTATTCACTGCAAAGTAAGTATTTGCTTAGGAAATGCAAGATAAAGCTTTTACTAAATTTTTATTCACACTACCCAATACTACTACTACAGTAGTATTGTCTTTGCTACTACTAAAGCCATCCCTATAAGAAATGCATTAAGTAGGTTCCTACTAATTGAACAATTTCATATGGTAGGACAAGCAATAATAATATGTTAAGTCCGCTTGAAATGACTAATCCATTCTTTACCATATTGTTTTGGTTACATGTATTACTTCTCCACAAAACTAAAAAAAAATCACAGTACCTAGCTCCCGGTCTAGGTTTTTAGGTATTTAATTGTTTATTATTGTAGCAACAGAAAACAAAATTGTTTACAAATTAATAAACACTTGATTATCACTATCGGCGATTTACGGTTTTTCTTAGATTTGTCACAGAAATAGAAACTGATTCTTATAGAATTAAAAATTGCATTGAGATATAGAGAATTTATTTCTACTAGAATATTTAAGTGGTTGATAGAGCGGATCTGAGTTTTGATTTCCATAGTTTCAGTAACTCATTTATGGTGAGGAGTTTTGAAAACTAATTTTTTTTTTTTAAATATCTTTATTTCACAACAATTGATATAATATTTGTTTACAATAAATTCTCTAAACAGTGCCTATATAGCTTTGGCCTCGAGAATACTTAAAATTATATGTATATAAGTGTTGGACACTTAAAAATTTACTTAATTTTAACAATACCTATGGTATATTCCTAAAAATATTTTGATTTTTTTAACAAACAGTTGGAAATTATTTATATTTTTTATGTTCTCTGGAATCTTGTTATATGACTTGCTGGCTAGTAGAAAAGGGTTATTTAGTCCTATATTTGTTCGTGTGTTTATTTGATAAATATTATTCTGATATCTAGTATTGTGACAATAGTCCAGGAAAATTGTCGATTTTCAAAAAAAAAAATTCCTACCCAAATAAATTTTTCAGGGATGATAGGGGGCGGGTGGGTGATCATAAAACCGAAGATATCACACATTCACCCCTCTGGCGTTTTGCGCTATAGGGGTTGAAAGTGCACCATTGGCGATTACTTGGTACCTGTTGATTTTACAAAAAAATGTTTCAAATAAAAGATGTGCAACATTATTTGATCTACAATGTTTATCTAAAGACTTTTTTTGATTTGAAATTTTATAATGAAGATAAAAAAATTTAACCAACGTGAAAAAAATTTCTACAATACATACAACATTTTTGCTTTATGAAGTTTTTACTCACCCCCTGCCGTTTTTTAATAGGGGTAGTTTAAAGTTTTTTTATTTTTTTACAAAAAAAAAAATTTAATAAAAGTTTTAGAAGATTATATTTCCTACAATTTTTCCCAATCAACTTTTTTTGTAACTCACCCCCATTCAGCGGGAGGACACTTCCCTTAGGGAAATTTTAGTTTTTAGGGGTATATATTAATTTTTTTTTTTCTTTTCTCACCTTTAGTGCATATAAAAAGTTGCAATTACCATTGTATTGAAAGGATTTTTTTTCCACCACCTTTTTGTTTTTAGGGGTGGTTCGCCTATTTCCAACTTTACAAAAAAAAATTATAAAGAAAAGTTGTTCAAGATAATAAAATGAACAAGTTTTCTTGATAATTTTTTTTTTGTAAAGTTTAAAATAGGCGAACTACCCCTAAAAACAAAAAGGCGATGAAAAAAAAATCCTTTTAAAACAATGTTAATTTCAACTTTCTATATGCACCAAAAGCGAGAAAAGAAAAAAAAATAATATATACCCCTAAAAACTAAAATTTTCCTAAGGGAAGTGTCCCCTAGCTGAATGGGGGTGAGTTTCAAAAAAAGTTGATGGGGAAAAATTGTAGGAAATGTAATCTTATAAAACTTTCATCAAGAAATTTTTTTTGTAAAAAAAATAAAAGAACTTTAAACTACCCCTATTGAAAAACGGCAGGGGGTGAGTAAAAACTTCATAAAGGAAAAATGTTGTATGTTTTGTAGAAATTTTTTTCACGTTGGTTAATTTTTTTTATTTTTATTATTAAATTTCAAACGGCCCTTATGACCACAGACGGCCCTTAAT